ATTGAGCATCTCTGGAGAGACCTGAAAATGGCTGTCCACCAACATTCATCATCCAACCTGACAGAACTGGAGAGGATCTGCAAGGAAGAATGGCAGAGGATCCCCAAATCCAGGTGTGAAAAACTTGTTGCATCATTCCCAAGAAGACTCATGGCTGTACTAGCTCAAAAGGGTGCTTCTACTCAATACTGAGCAAAGGGTCTGAATACTTATGACCATGTGATATTTCAGTTTTTCTTTTTTAATAAATTTGCAAAAATTTCTACATTTCTGTTTTTTTTCTGTGAAAATGGGGTGCTGAGTGTACATTAATGAGAAATAAAATGAACTTTCTTGATTTTAGCAAATGGCTGCAATGAAACAGTGAAAAATGTAAAGGGGTCTGAATACTTTCCGTACCCACTATATATATATATATATATAGAGAGAGAGATATGTGTATTTCTGCACTGATCATCTACAGCCTTACATTATATGTTGTTTTTTTTCTATTTTCATCTTAAGTTATCATTGATCTATCTGCATATATTTACTGTAAAGAGGAACATTGTCACTATACGGGTGTGTGTATGTGTGCATTTACTGTATGAACCAGCAATCCTGCACAGCTGTTTTTTAGATTCTGTTATTGTACTTGTAAATAGAAATCAACATTTCAAGTGGCTGTGTAAGTGTCTTTTGAGACGTTTGCAGCCAGTGGCAACCTCCTGTTTTAGTGTGAGAATGTGTATGAATGGATTAACAGTTAATACTGATGGACTCTTTACACAGCAGCCTCTACCATCAGTGTGTGAATGTGGAGTGAATAAGTAAGTGAAACCTGTATGTAGTTAGAGGACTAGAAAAGCGCTAAACATTACAAGCTTGAGTCTATTTTCCATTAACCATTTACTTAAGGCTGCCTTGAAATCCCATAAAACGCCCTATATTAAAAAATCCATTTTGAACAGCAGAAATAAACATGTTTTCAGCCAGGTTCAAAAGATTGATTTGGTCTGAAAAGTTAATTTCTTTAACATCACATATTGTCAGCATTTATAATACGACGACTGCCATGCATGGGCCTTCAAAAGTCCGCCTCAGAAACCACTGGGTGAGTCGCTTTAGACCACATCCAGGTTTTACACAGTCAAGAGCCTTAAGTGGCCACTTCAGCATTGGTCTCATTTTTCTACACCGGAGGTTGCTGCTGCTTGGGGTGATGTGAAACAATTGCATTGAAACTCATGCATTTAGTAGAAAATGGCTAACACAGTTAGTGACCACTAGGGGGAAAGGGTTTGTTTTGTGTTTAATTGTCATTTTTCCTTTGGAAATGTAAACGTATGTTTCCCATGCAAATAAAACATATTTGAAATGAATTGAGACACACTGGAGAAAGTTCAAGCTCAAATCCTTTGTGAGCGTGTCAATGCAGTCATATAGTCTGCAAAGAACTAATGCAACTGTCTGTAAATGGATAAACTATTGCACAAACACACAGATCTGTCAATGAGTTTTTAGCAGTTAAATCCCCATGATGGATGCAGATCTGAATGAAAACGTTTTTGAAGGATGATTTTACATGATATGAATTTATCAAATATATTTTACGCACAAGTTTTTACATGCAGGATTAAGATATAGTAGATCCCATATCTTACCCACTCAGGTGCACTCAGGGCTGCTGAATGGGAAAATGACAGACAGGACACCTCCTTAATGCTAAGCTGTGTGTAAGCTCATCTCAGCCCCATTGTTAGAACAAGGTCTCAGGGTTTTTTGGAGGGCATGTGGGGGGATTCGAGGTCAGGTGACAGTTGTCCAGGTTTTGTTTGACAGGGTGTGCCTTTCTGTCCCAATGTGATATGATGTGTTGGAGACCTAATTTCTTAACAAAGAGGGATAGCCCCTGGCACAAGTGGGGAGATGTGACCAAAAAGACGACTCGTCAGTGAATCCTAACTTTCCCCTTTTTTGGTGCTCTTACATAAAAATGTCTAATAAAGCCAGTCTTTATGTTATTGTTATGTAATGATTCAGGAGAGGTTGGCTTAAGGGATTTAAAAGGTTTCCGTGGATTTGATCTGTTTGTTGTACTTGCAATACATTTCTGGGAAAAAGTATTTATTATTGTATTTTTGGTGTATAGAAAAACCAACAACTTTTTCTTTTAGTCCAAGCAATAATCAACGGAAAAAATAAATAAAATAAGAGCAGCATTGCCCCTTTGTAAAGAGGTATTTTTTTCCTATATTTTCTTACCAAAAATAACTCAAATCTAAGCCAGTGTTTTGGTCACTTATTTTAAACCACATTCACCTGACAAGTCCATATAAAACTCTTGTTTCCAGATATAAAAATCAAAACCTGAGATCAAAACCTGTATTGGTCAGAATATGTAAAAAGATCTGCCATTGGGTTCATTTAAAATGTACCTGAAATGAGATGTACTAACTAATTTAGATAGTACATTTATTTTTTCTCTCTCTCAAAATGTTTGATTGCCCCATTGTCAGATTATTTTATTGATTATTGGTAATGCAGGCCATAGTTCTTGTGTTTTTTATCCTGAAATTAGATTTTTATCTGGACATGTCAGTGTCACATGTGGGTTAAAAATGAGTGTAATGAGATATTTTAATCAAGAAATTAGACCAATACAGTTTCTTGGATTTGAGTTTTTTGCAGTGCTGTTCTATAATGAATCCATGTGTAGTGAGGTTACATTAAAATGTCAGGCAGCTGAAGTCATCGCTCATATGACAAGTTAGATTTATACCTACTGGACATAATGTTCCTGCAGACGGAGCACACCACATAAAGGTTCAGCCATTGTTCTGCCTCTGTCAGATGATCCAGCGGGCTGGTGTGGCTCTGTACTCTTCTTCTTCTTTCAGGGGGGCTTCCTGTTGGCTGGAAAGGAGGTCACTATAAAGGACTGAGGGTGATGAAGGTGAGAGCAGACGTAGTAAAGACATACTAAGGCGAAGAGGTGTGGCAACTTGTCATCCACACAAGGTAAGATACAACTCTAATAAGATGTTTTTAATCTTTTATCTGCAACTTCTCACTTCAGTTTAATTATTTAAGCTTTTGTATTAATCCCATTAGGAGCTTCTGGTTTGGAGCAGTTTGTTAACTTTGATTGAAATTTTACTTTTTACACAACTAGCCAACAAAAGTGTTCATTGTTGACAGTTATTGCCACTTGAAAACGGTTTTAATTCTTTGATGATCTGTCGTTCATCAAATTCAAATCTCCTGTGAGGAGTTTTTAACTGGATAGAAAACAGACTGAATTGAATGCTGAAGCCTTTATATGACCTACAAAAGCAAACCATCAGTGACTAAATTGATCATTTCTATAAAGTTAATTCTAAAGTCAGAAATCGGTCTCCCAACAAAATATACAAGTTCTGTTCAGTTGAATTATTGTTTTAAGACTATTAGAAAGTTTTCATCACAGTTACATTCAGGATTTTGGAGGCAGGGCCTAATGGGAGCTCAATAATGCACTGGGGTACCTTGATTTGTATTCATATTACTCAATAACAGGGGTGCCTTGTGGTTAGTCCCATGTACAGAGGCCTGAGTCCTAGAAGGTGGGCGGCCTTGGTTCAAACCTGACCTTTGGTTCTTCCTTACTCTCCCTCCCCCGATCTCTGACTCGATCCACTGTCCTGTTTCTGAATAAAGGCATAAAAAGACAAAAAATGTACCTTTAAAAAAATACTCAATAATAGGCTAACATTACAAATTGCTAAGCTAACTTACATAAATGTGGTTGGTTAGACCCTCAGGTTCTGATTCTGGCTCTGATGGCTCAAACATGTAGAGCTGGACAGGTCCAATAGTGCAGCCAAATGAACAATCCATTGTCAGGTCTCAGCAGTTTTTCCCACAGCATCCCAGAGCAGAGATTATTGCTTCATTAGTCATGATTTTGAAAACTTAACTTTATATACTGAGCAGTTTTTCCATTACTGAAAGTTGGCCTGGTGGCTAATAACACAATCTTCTGTTGGATAACATACCTAAAAAAAAAGATTATTGCTTTAAGGACTCTAATGCCTGAAAGGGGACTTCCACAGGGGGCGCCAAAATCAAGACAAACTGAAAAATCCTCACAGCTCTTTAAATGAGATATTAAATGTTTGGTAATGATGCTTTTTGGTGAAAATGTGTGACGAAGAACTATAATTTTATGTTTTACAACCCTCATTTGCATATTATGTACTTTGTCACTGAAGCAAAAGTACATTTTGAAGTCAAAAAATGACTTCAAAATGTACATTGTAAAAATGTTGAAGTCAAGGTTTCCCTGTATTCCAGTCTGAATCCATCCCTCTTCAGGGATAAGGAGGATGATCCAGACTTTTTTAGATCAAAACAAACCTAATCTTACTCAGAGCTTTGAGACTACTATTTGTAAATGATTTTCATAGTTATTAAAAAATGCTGATAAGACAGATATGAAATCTTCATAGCTCTTGGTACTGATTTAAGATGACTTTAAATTGATTTATTAAGTGTTTGTAAAAGGGTATTTTTACATTTCTTCACTGTTTAAAACTTTACTACTAAAGTATTACTTTCATGAATACTTTGCTTATAAATATCAATCTCATTCCAGTTAATACTCATAAGTCACCACATTTGAGAAGGAAATGGGCCCTTTCCTGCAGATGGAGTCTTGAGTTTACATTTCATATTTTAGATTAAGGTTATAAATAGTTAAAGGATACAGTAACATGTATTATTACAATTAAAAAATAAGTCTTGACTTCTCTAATAGTTTTATTGAAAAGGTTATCTTAGACCTGATAAAGTAAATAAACCTACAATTCACAAAATAAATCAATAAATGTATCTTATTGATGGAGTGTGTTTACGTTGTTGTGTCAGTATTTGTGACAGAATCAGAATGGTTGTTTTGAGTTCTTTAACCTGATCTGCTGGAGTGGTGATCCTGAGCTCCTCTGATGTTTGTCCACTTTTTTTTCCGCAGTAAGAGGACAATGTGGCTGGTGCTTCTGACATATCAACTTGCTACTCTACTTATCGCCCAGGGTCAAAATGCCTGCAATGGACACTCTACATTTAGAAGTCCAGGTCAGACAACCCCCCCCCCACACACTACTTTCTTTCTCTGCAACCCAGTATGCCTCAGCTCAGTGGCAGCCTGGTTATCTCAGGCGAGGTATGTTACAGTCTGCGAGCTGACAATTTTTTTTAAATTGAGCTGTTGAAGTTAAACAAAAAGCAAAGACAGATTAACTTGTCCCTAAAGGTTGAATATCTCCAAATCACACACATAAAAAAAAGTCACAAATGGAATTTTTCAGCACACTATAAACACATTAAACAGCACACTATTGCACAGCACAGCCTTAAACTTTTTGCACAGAAAATATTCACGTTTACACATAAAATGTGTTTTCACATCTGCACTCCTGAACACATAATAAAGCAGTTTCATTAGATCTCACCGACACAGGCATAAAGTCAGTTTGCACCGGCTGCAGGACATAAAATGATGGCAATATTTTTTATGATTTAGCGTTAGTTTGTGTTTTTTGGTGATGCTGAGTGTGTGTTCATGTGAGACAGCCAGAGCGTTTTTGGCAGTGTTTGTAGACTGAAATACACAGCTGACTTCAACTTTGCCTGTTCGGGGTTCTCAAAGGAACTAAACTTAATTGTCAGTGCTTCTTCAAAATTTAAGTTGTACAGTGTGGGTGCTCAGGTTATATTTGACAATTGGTCCGTACAGTGGGAGCATATAAATCATGAGCTTTTGTTATGCGTCTTCAAAAATTCAATTGTACAGTGAGAGATGACATTCCACGACAACATTTATACAATCGTGCAGTGTATACCCAGCCTAAACACAAATATTACTGATCAAAAAAAAAAAAATGAAATACAGTTCTAAACAAAGATAAAAAAAATGACTGACGGCCCCATTTCCTGAGTTGAAAAGTCCTTCTTACAACTTGTGTGAATGGTAAATGGACTTGAGCTGGAAAAGCATTTTCTAGTCTTCTGACTACTCAAAGTGCTTTTACACCACAGGTCACACCTACACAGTCACACACTGATGGTAGAGACTGCTATGTAAAGTGACCATCTGAAGTAAATAATCTCATTCATACACATACATATGTCACCGACAAAGCAGAAGAAGCAACTTGTGGTTAAGTGTCTTGCCCAAGGACACATCGGACATGTGGCTGCAGGAGCTGGAGATCGAACCCCCGACGTTCCAAATGAAAGATGGAACAACTGAGCATGTGTCTTCATTATTTGTTAAATTGTACCGTAGAAACTACATGAATGCTACAAAGACAATAAGATGTACAGATTCATTGAGTCCATAATTTTTCATGATCAGTAGCTAACAGTTAAAACTGCATCAAAACTTTCTTTGTCTTTTGATGCTAACCATAAATTTAAGGCAAATGACAACTTTTCTCTGAAGATTTTAACTTTACAATTGAAAGTTAAAAACACTGTACAATTGTTTTCACAGGCTTCAAAGTCATGACAATATAACATGTGTTTAAATGGTGGCCTGTCCCTTTAAGAAGTCAGGGTTAGAGTAATCTGTCAACATGTTCAACATCCTAACCTGATTGTGGTCTGATTACTCAGCTAACTCAGACATGGAGGTCCTCTGTGGCTCTCAGACGGTGGACCTCCAGATCCTCCTGTGTCCCGTCTATTTCAACGGATACAACGAGTCTCTGCTGTCCCTCAACTCAGAGCACTCTAAACACCAGTGTAAAGGGAATGCTGACTGGACTGCAGACCCTCCTGTGGTCAAATTCAACTTCTCCATCACAGAGGAGAGCATCACAGCCTGCTCCAGCAAGCTCACAGTACGTTAAACCTCAGAACACTCAGCAGCAGCAGATCCATTCACACCACACATTCTTGATTAACTAACCCTTTCCTCACAGGTCACTCAGGAGGCGGGAACTGGAGTTTTTGCCGACTTCTCCAACGTCCAGTACATCAATATCTCTGGTATGGTGTGCTCTGAGGACCCCAGCACAGGGGCCATCACCTACCACCAGGAGGTGATGTACCAGTTCTCCTGCCGCTACCCGCTGCAGTACCTGGTCAACAACACTCAGATGAGCGTGTAAGACACATTCACTGTAAAGAAAATAATCATGTGTGCTATTCCAAGATTGATTAGACTGATTATCTTAAGATAAACATAAAGAGCACATACTGTATCAATCCCTCTTCACATAAGCTAGCTGTTTGAAAGATTCACAAGTTGTTTTGATTTTTTTTTTTTTGCACTTCTGCACTGGTTTCATTTTCATCACTGAAGGTTGCAGCTTGATTTTTCCTCTAAAAGTATTCTGATTTAAAGTATTTATATGTGATTTTTCACACTTAAATATAATATAAATCAAGTATATCCTCTGAAAATAACTCTGTGAGTCATGACTGTCTACAATGGGTGTAACACCTGAGTCCCACTGTCTGTGATGTTTTCAGAGTTTTCAGAGTCCTATCTTCAGTTTGTTTACATCGCCCGGACAGCCGGCTGACTCCTCCCCTCGTGTATAAAAGTTGTTTAATTGAGGGACTAGAGAAAAGAAGAATAACATACTGTAGTCACTGCTTAACTGTGTTTCTAGATCACGCTCATTTCAGGTAAATTTACATGCAGTGTGAAGATACGAGCATAATAAAGATCGCTAGAATTAGCATGCTAACACAACAATGCAGCGCGAGTTGTTTTGGTTTCATGCTGGAGGGCGGCATCTGCTGGATCAAAAAATCACATATTAAGCCTTTAAAGGAAACTTTGAGTTTTGTCTTTCCAGTTTGTATTAAGAAGAAGGCCAACAGACTGGTAAACCCAAACAGTTCAAAGCAGACCTAATCATGTAGCTGAACCATCATTTCTGTTGTCACCTAGTTTTGTTATTTCTCAGAAGGTGACTTGAACATGCTGCTTCACATATTTATCTGGGTTAGTCAGGTCATGAGTGTTGCCGAAGGAGGTGTGTAATACTCATCTGTGTATCATGTATTAGATGGAAGATGACCTGGTTGTTGTTGACTTGGGGTTTTTCCCTGAATGCATTACAGCTGCTTAAAGAACTGTTTTTTCTGTCCAACAGGTCTGCAGTCAACCTGGCAGTCAAAGACAATAATGGGAGTTTCATCAGCACACTGAGCATGCAACTGTACTCGGTAAGTTTAGCGAGGTATCCCACCTCCTGCAGCCCCTCGGGACGAGTACGTTTAAAGTGATACATAACGCATTATGTCAGAAAGATCTGCCCCAATCAGTCTAAACAAAATCCTTTCCTCACTTGGCCTTCAGGATGAAAAGTACTCCAGGACACTGCAGGTCCCTCAAGGAGGCCTGGAGCTGAAGACCAGGATCTTTGTGGAAGTGAAGGCATCAAACCTCACTAACAGGTACTTCACACTTCACATGGGTCTGAGCAACGCTGCTTACACATTGTACAATTCTTTCAGTTACTTGAAATGTTATTTTTTTATAAAGAACATACTGACATTTTGTTGACTAGTACCTGGTTTTTCTAATCCAATGAAGTATTTTTTAAGAAGACCCTTACCAACTGTACTGATCTGTGCTGTTACCAAAACTCCTCTTACAGATTTAACGTGCTCCTGGACCGATGTTATGCCACAGCCTCACCTTTCCCTGTCAACACCACATTTCACGATCTCTTTGTTGGGTGAGTCAGCAGCCCTCAGAGAGGACTCAGCATTAAGCTATATATCACTGTCTTCCTTATTTAACATAATACTGCAAGCCCAAGTGTTGATCTATTTTCATCCACAAGAAATTAAACAGAGCCCTGAGAACACTTCATTTTATCCCAATAAAGTTCCACGTAGTCCCCTACAGTCTTTTGTATTGTTAGCTATTAATAGCTACCAGAACAAATAAACACACAACTTCAAACCATGAGATTAATGTTTTTGTACCAACTGAAACCAACTGGCAACAATTTAATATTTGAACCTAATATTTGAAATATTCTAACCTATGAAGTTGTGCTGCCTCTAACTAAGCTGTTTAAGAGTCTAAACCTATCCAGGTGTGTGGTTAACATTAGTATAGTTGGTAAAGATAAGGCACCAACAGTCCAACACAAGTGACAACCTACAGTGGCAAACACAAAAGTGTGAAAAACCTGCAGTTGTTTTTTCCCCTCTGGTTGATTTGGCAGGGACAGATGCAGTATACATGGAGAACTGAACAACAATTAATGCACTGCACCACAGTAACACCATAGAATCCATATTAGCTCCCATATTAAATGCCAATTTTTATAGCAGATATGAACATGCTCTCAATGCAATCACAATCACAGCACTATAGGGTTGGATGAGCTATACTATTTGAAAAAAAGGGGTCAAGAATTCATGTTTTTCTGTCTGCCAATCAGAATGTTTGTACAACTGATGGCTAAAAGAAAACTGTCCCCCAAGCTGTAACCAGGATACCCAGACAGTGATGGGAATCAACGGGGCGCAGCAGGAAGCACGTTTCTCCTTCGAGGCTTTCCGCTTCACTCAAAGCGAGGCAATCTTCTCCACCTACTATGTCCACTGTGCCACCAGACTGTGTGTGAACAACATCTGCCCAAGCCTCAAGGTCAGTCTGCCTCCCGCTTGTTACACCACAGAGGCTAAACTTTAGTATTTTTAGATTTTATAATTCCTGCTTTCTTTAAGTTTCTTAATAAAGCATTGTTATTGGTTAACTCCTTGCCTTTACTTTTGCCTGGAAAAATTGTGCAAACCAAAATGGTGATTAAATATTTCCCCTGCAGAACTGCTCATCCAGCACCAACTCAAGGAGACGCCGGGGTGCCAGCAACAACCAGGGTACCACTGTGAGCGACATGGCCACCATCAGCTCAGGCCCCATCACCATCCGCACGGACCAAGGTGAGAACGTGAACGGTCTATTTAGGCATCTAAGAATTCAGAGATACTGCTGTGATCACAACACAGTTACACTTTTGCTGAATCATACCTGTCTCTGTTTCTCCACAGGGAATCTGGTGGCTCCTGGAGGTATGTTTCACTGCCAGCATGACTTCATTCCTGTATTCCTTTAAAAGACAAGATTGGAGAACAATATCAAATGATAATACTGGTTGTATGTACACAGGACTGGACTGGGGTGAAAATGGCCCCAGGCATTCTTGGCTCAAAACGGCCCCACGCGACCAATTGAGTACAACACACCTGTAAACTACCTCTTCCAACTGGAAGTTTGTAAAAAAAAAAAAGTAAAAAAAAAAAAAAGTATAAAAACGCTGCTATAGGCCAGAATTGATTATATTTCATTATTTATATAGGCCTACTTGAAATACATTATATGTATAAAATCAAATTAATCTTGAGAAGTATCTTAATAGTGTAGCGGCTGTAGAGTCCTTGGTCTCTCAACCGATAGGTCTGGGGTTCGATCCCCAGTTGCTGATGTGTCCAGTTAAGACACTTCACCCAAATTGCTCCCGCTGCTTCAGTAATACTGATGGATGATTGATCAGTTTGTGAATGTGTGGCTGTGACCTGCGTTGTAAGAGCTTTTGAGTAGTCAGAAGACAAGACTAGAAAGTGCTAAACAAGCTCATGTCCATTTACCATTTGTATTATATTACAAATTTTCATTTAAAAACTTAACTTGAGTAGCCTAAGTATATTTGAATGGATGGAACTTTATGTTTAATACTCCACTACACTTCAGCAGCCAGTGTACTGTACATTTTGTAGGACTTTAAGGTTAAAGCAAGCAAGGCTAAAATGAATTTACACCAGACATCACATTAGAGTCTCACCTTGAATTGATTTCTCCAAATAAGTGGGTGGTTTTTGTTTTCAATTTGTTGGCACACACAAAGGCTAGGCTATTCTTTAGTTTGCAGCCAATGTTTGAGATAAATTCTGAGTATAGAATAGGTATAGGAATTTGTAAGCAAAGAGAGTGACTGACAGAGTGTATGTTAATATTTGATGAGGTGTAGCCTATGTTAAGGGTTGGGGGGCTTGAAAATAAGAATTTATTTTAAATTCGATAAACCGCGACACGTAAACATACAGTATATGCAGCTGTAAAAATCAATAAACTAGTAAAAAGTACTTTCTCAGTGTGGTATTATAAGCCTACTTTTACAAACCTTCCCTACATTATATTTATATTGTAACGCACAAGAGCTACAGCTTTAACCTATGAAACAGTTTTTTCAAACATCTTTATAAAGAAAACCCTTAGCCTTGTAATGTAACTGCCTTGTATGTATGCTAACATGCTAACATACAGACCTGAGTCACTCCCTGCTTAGCTAGGCTACCGTTAGCTCGTTAGCTTATTGATTCAGCGTCAGGCCATGACTACGACAGTCTGGACTTTCTTTGGACTTCATTCCCTACTTTTCTTTATCCTCACTCTTTCATGATATGGAGCAGGAGAGGTCAAAGGGTGGAAGGGAGGAGACGGGATTCGGACATAGGCCGATGGCACTGCTCTGTGGGCCACTTAGCATTTTGTTTTTTAAATTATTATTATTTATGCCCCAAAAGGCATTGAAACAGCTTTCAATACAGCCATAAAGATTAGCTACCAGAGCAAATACAACAAACACAGCACTTCAAACCATGAAATTAATGTTTGTGTACCAATAACTGGCAACAATTTAATATTTCAACCCAACCTATGGAGTTGTCCCACCTCTAGCTAAGCTGTTTAAGGGCCTAAACCTATCTAAGTATTTGGTAAGGATAAGGCACTGGCAACCTCCAGTGGTAAATGCAAAAACCAAGGATCCCTATTAAGTCCACTATTAGGCTAAATGCCATTTTATTTTACAGCAGAACGTGCTTATAGCCTGGTTCAACAAACTTCATTGGCTCGTTAGCCGCTGACAACGCTATGTGGGCCAATTAGCATTTTTCAATCCAGCCCTAAAGATAAATGATTAATTAATCACAATGAATATGAGGTGGAATTTTTTTTAATTAAGAACCTTTTCCCGATCAACTCATTCACTTCAAAGCCACCAAACTTTATTGACAAATAACAGTAATTTCTGTGGCAGAGGACAAGTTTATGAAAGTATTTTTGGAAACAAAACTGCTGAGCAGGTTTGACACTGGAATTTGTACTTGTAGAAAATAGTCTCACGTGTGTATCAGTAAATATGAAGTCACAGAGAAAAATGCTGCTGCCTTGTTTGTTTGCATCACTATTTGTTTGAGTTGCTGTACTGTGGCTCCTCTGTGTTAAGTTGTCAAAAACATGTATTTTGGTGGACATCAAGCATAAACTGCACCTATAAGAAATACATTGTAGTAATGTCAACCTTTTAAGTGCCTGGAAATCCTTAAAATCCCCAAATATGTGAAAGTAGTGGATGAACATACAGTAAGCTTAGACAAGATTTTCTCCATCTCTAACAACAAAGCCTTGTATTCAAACACTCTGAGAATACTCTTCTTGAGGAAATTCTGAATAAATGTCGATGATTCTTAGAATTTTTAAAGAATTTTGTCACTTAGGAGCAACTCTTTGTACTCGGATACTTTGTGAATACGGCTCCAGAACTTGATAATCTGCCAAACACAAATAGAGAGAAGGATCTCTTGTTACTGTAAGACGAATAAAATAATGTAGGGAAACCAATTGGCTTGACAGTTTAAGACATAAATATGTTGTACAGCTTCCATTATGCTCATCAGGATATAAACTTTACATTTATCTAAACTATAATGAGCTTACTATGGTGTCTTCTTCCTCACTACAGGTGCTCAGCAGGCTCACCTGAACAGTACGATGGTGGCTGTTTCTGTGGTTGCGGGCATTGTTGGAGCCATCTGTCTTACATTGGTGGCTTTCATTGGATACCAAATGTACAACTCCAACTTCAGTTTCAACAAGAGCATCCTGCAAGGGTGAAAAAAGCTGGGGGAAAAACTTAAGAAATATAATGTAATGATTACTCACTCATAAGTAAAGTAGGCTTTAATGTTCAGTGATGTAACACCAGACATGAAGCGCATCTCCTGGGTAAAAGAGCTCTCTGGGGCTGTTATGTAATTCATGCTAGTTCCTGTCAACATGCAGCAACCTAACACTTGAACTCAGAACTATCCATGCTCCAGGCTGAGTTACTTTATTAAGCTTTTTTATTTAAACTTTAATGTTTTACATTGAGTTTTCTATTGCCAATAAAGGTGTTTGAAAAAAATGCTAAGTTGTTATTGGTGGTAATTTTTAAAGTTGTTGCTTATTCCTTCCAATAAAGCAAACATTGTCACATTTTTTTTGTTGAAGCATAATGAGATTAGGGGTTGTGGTTCAGTTGGTATCTTTAGTCGTATCTTAACCAGAAGGTTGGGGGTTCGAGCCCCAGCTCCTGCAGCCGGACGTCCAACATGTCCTTGGGTAAAACACTTAACCCCAATTTGGCGGACTATGAATTTGTATGAATGTGATTAGTAACTTCTGATGCTCACTTTACATAGCATCCTCTGTAATCAGTGTGTGACTTTAAGTTTTCAGAAGACTACAAAAATGCAATAAAAGCTCAAATCCATTTACCATTTAAAAAAATGGAAGACTTCACTATTTTAATCTTTAACTCTAAAAAAGGCTTGTGTGATACTTGTTCTGGTAATCACTGCAGTAGTCTACTTTAGTACATATTAGCTGAGATGGATGTGGGCTCACAGTGAACATGAATTTCACCGGAAAATTCTTATCAGGTCAATGTAACGTGTCCCAAATTTGAGGATAATTACCTGACTCCTTCATGAGACAAAGCTTTCAAGAGTGTCAGGCCATGACATGGATAACCAGAGAACGTGATTTCAATCCAATTAAAAAAAAATGTTTTTTTTTATTAACAGCTTTAACACACATTATTTTCATCCCCCACTCATGAATTTTGTTTTCCTCTGTCAGCCCTTCAAATAACAGAGTGCAACAAACAGAAGAGCACATGAACTTAAGTCCCCCCCTCCCCGCCACCCAGTCATGATGAGAGCAGTGACAACTTGAACACATCACCTCCTCTCGAGAGTTTAGCAGCTTATGAGACTAAAAGATGGACTTTGACTGCCAAAACATATTCAGTGTTGTTTTGGCATCAACAGAAGAAAAAATAAATCATGACTCATTTAATTCAGTCAGCTGGATCAGAGATATAATGGGAACCAGAAATATGGAGACACTGTTTATATATTAAGTTTTACTTATTTGGCAGCTCACCTGTCAATCTGCACTTAAGTGCTACACTATAGACACATGTTTTTTTTTTTATACTCATCATCAACAGGGGTTATCGTTCTATTTAGTCAAGATTTCAAACATACAAAAACACTGAATGAGTTTCAGTGGGTTAGTAATGATGGGAGAAACAAGTTCAATCGAGTGCATGTACTAAAAAATGTAAGTGATTTATCATGGAACACACACTCAGTATGTCACTCGTTCTGCATACTAATCCTTAATCCACATTTATACCCAAATTGTGTAATTATGTTCAAAATAATCAGCCATCATTCCAAATTATAGACATGTTTCAGAAGAACTTCTAATTTCTCAGTTTCCTCTGATTTACTTATTCTCAAAGTCCAATCAACATATGTTGGGGCATATTTATAGTTCACGTTGTGATTGGATGAATGCTTTGTTTCATTACAAAAAAAAAAAAAAAAAACTGTACTTCCAATATAGTTTTAGATTGAATCTATAAGGCTTACGACAATGTTTTCCCTACAAATACAGCTGCTGTCTTAAAGCTGAGAGGCACAGGAAAGAGTGGAGTTTTAAATGAATTAACCGTACAAATGTCAAGCCCCCCCCTCATCAGAAGTCTATGTAGTTACTTTAATAAGTCTGAACACTGCTCACACCTCCCTCTGTGGGATGTCATCATCTGGTGGGCTTGACCCGTATCCATCACGGCACAGACGGAGTCCCAGACTTTACTTTTGTTGAACTGCTTCTTTGTTGTGTTTCAGTGTCGAGTCGATGACAGACAGAAGAGATGAGCAGCAAATAAAGAAGAGGGGTGGGGAAGGTAGGGGTAAGATGAGCAGTCTCTGTTGCATATCCAGTCAGATTCAAGCGGTTCGGTCACCAGGGACAAAAAAAAAAAACAAGAAAAACTAAGAGAGAAGGAACTTGAACATTTATACACTGTCAATAAATAGTGATTTCTTTCCCAGTTCCAGCTGTTATAATTCATCCTCTATGTGGACCTTCTCTGTTGCTCCTGAAAATAATGAAGAGAAAGAAAGAAAAGATTACTTTGTGTACGGGCATTCCTCCTGAGCTACATGTGCTGAGTAATTGTGGTGTTTACGGCCTCAACATTACACACACGCTCACATACAATGCTGTTGCCATGGTGATTACCTATTACCTTTAGCATTCAGAAGGCCTAGGCCAAAGACAATGCAGCCTTATGTCATCCCTGCCAGTGTTTAACAAAAAAATGACGACAAATGTTTTGTAAATGACTGTTTCTCCATCATGAAGACGAGACATTTACGAGCTGAAGAAGAAAAACACAAAACATAGACTGAACTGAAATGTTAGTGGTGGGCTGACAGACATTAAAACACACTATGATATTTTCCCATGTGTAATCAGTCTGTCAAAACACAAGCAGGAGAGAGGAGAAGTGTGTTTGCCAGAGAGGCAGAGAGCAGTGGGATTGAATAATCTTTATGCAAGTTGCAGTTGCTGTACGGATCAACTTGCATGCATTTAAGTTAGTTAGCAGCACTTCCTCAGGTTTGCTCAAGAGATGAGCTTAGAGTTGAAGCGATGAGGTCTGAAGCTTTTAAAACTCTCTGTAGTAGCAACAGATTATAATAAAATAATAAACACACAAACAAGTTGAGATTTGAGAGGATGAATGTGCCTCTAGCATATTTAGTTGATGACAGAATGATGGTGTATCTATCACAGCCTGTTTCAGATATGCCAGCTAAAACATTGTGTACCTGTTATTTGTTTTGACCCTGAAATATAACCAGCAATAAGGCCAAACATTTAAAAACGTATCTTGCCTCTGTAACAGATTTAGAGACAAGCTAACAAATCAAATAATCCAGCAGTCATGTGATGCTCCAGTCAGAGAGGAGGTCATTCAGTTCAAGGGTGGTGTTTTTTATTTTTTTTATTGTTTCCACCCCCTAGAGTTCTCCATCATCAGCGACAGGTGTGGAAGACCGACCTGTAGTTGTTTCTTCTGTGGGCTGTGATTGGCTGTCTGAGTCTGTGTGTACAGTGCTCTCCTCTGTGGGCGGGACTTCCCCTGGCTGAGGCTCCTCTGGTCCTCCTGTAGGTGAATAAAAACATACATGGAGTTAAGTCTTATAGCTGGTGTGATTTTCATATTCACAAGGGAACAGTAACATTTGAAGAGTAGTGTTTGAACCCACCACTTGTTGTCGCAGTGCTCTCCTCTGTGGGGGGGATGACCTTCTCCTCTGCTGTGTCGTTTGTCTTACTGCTTTTATCCGAGCTGGTGCTGTTCTTGGCTTTGGCTTTGGACCTCGGCTTAGCAAATTTAGCTTTGTTGAGCAAGTAGTTGACCTCTCGATCCAGCAGAGCCAGTTTGGACTCGATGTCTTTAGAGAGTAGGATAGGTCGCTCCTTTGCAGAGCGTTTCTCCTGCACTGCTACCGTATCATTCTTCCACGTCTGGAGAAAGATAATACAACACATGAGGTTCAACTTTAAACCAAGACAAGAGTCTTTGTGACAACTTATCAAATGTACTAAGGAAGGCTTCAGAGGAACATTTTTAAAGTCTGAAAAAAAAAAAAAAAAACTATCTGGATGATGTCATAGTGATTTAGATTATGACGGTATATTTGTGTTGTATGAAAGATGTCATCTGCCATAGTACTGAACTCAAGGCTTCAAAAAGGCAATTGCCCCAGTACAAGTTTGCTCAAACTTAATTAATATTAAACCAAACTTCTTGATGTAGAGGAAAAAAACACAATATAAATTTCTTTTTTTTTTACAAAGATCAGACAGTAGTAAGCAAAGTTACTACTGTCTACTGATCAAAACAACACACCTAACAACTCTGAGAAGGCATTGTTCCTGAGAAAAAAGGACGGTGCAGCTGACAAGGAAACACTCATATCAGTAAAGATGACATTTAGCAAACTAGGAACCATTTTATAAAATGAGTCTTAAGCATATTCCACATATTAACACCTGAAAATGGCAAATTTCAGACAGGCTGCCCCCTGTTGTTGAAACAAACACCTCAAACTGAAATACCGTATTTTCCGCACTATAAGGCGCACCGGATTATAAGGCGCACCTTCAATGAATGGCCTATTTTAGAACTGTTTTCATATATAGGGCGCACCGGATTATAAGGCGCATAGAATAGAACGTGTTAACAACTGAACAAGGCTGGGAGATATTGTGAATATATAAATATAAATACGTATAAAACGTAACGTATAAAACTACAAAAACAAAAGTACATAAGACGATTTCCCCAAATAATAAATTATTTCTTTGACGTTTCTCTTAACTCTCAAAACGTAGTTTTATACGTAGTGCATTCACAATAACTCAACGTTGTTCAAACGTTAATGTGCATATTCACAATATCTCCCAGCCTTGTTCAGTTGTAAACACGTAAAAGAAACACAGTCTGATACCGCTAATTCAAACGTTAGTGCAGGGGTGCCCGAACAGTCGATCGCGATCGACAGGTAGATCGCTGACTGATTCTCAGTCGATCGCGAGATGTTTTGTCAATATAAAACACAATTGTAAAATAGAAAAGTGATTTCAATTTCATCTCATTGCACTGTTTCCCACACACGATACCTGTGTTGGGAGCCCAAGTATACTTCCAACCTGTGTGTATTTAATTTTTCATTTATTCATGAAATTGCTGCGTGCATGAGAGAGCGAGCGAGAGAGCGAGCGAGAGAGCGAGCGAGAGAGCGAGCGAGAGAGCGAGCGCGCGCAAGAGAGAGTGCAGGCATGCGCAATGACGTGCAGGTAAAACCGGGGGGGTAAATGTTTTACCAAAAAGTCATATATAGAAACTATGCTACGAGTATTAAGCGCATTTGATGAAGCTGCAGCTACTTTTCTCTGCTCCTCTCTGCTGTGATGACTGTGAGCATCGCGGGGGACGAGACACACCAACAAACAGCGCAAACGCACACGCACACACACATACACACACATGCACAGGAGCGCCAGCCACCACGCGAACCTTTTTACTTTTTACTTTTAGTGCTACAGCACACAGTTGATCCGTGATCCGTACGGACCGAGGTGGGAACACACGTGACCCGGTCAAACAGTCGGTTGGACTTTACTCCGTTCACTCTCACCGTGTCTGCAGCTAATTTAAACAAAAGCAAAATCATCTCACAGCAGCCTGCTGTAGTCTGTAGTCTGCATTATTTTTTACAGAACTCTCATTTATTATTTTCTGTTTGTTGTGTGAGTATTAAATGCGTTTGTAGGCTGTTGGTAAAGGCTATGGCTCACTATGTGGACTGGTAGATCTCGGCAGACTGGTAACTTTAAAAGTAGATCTTGGTTCAAAAAAGGTTGGGCACCCCTGCGTTAGTGCGTAACTCAACATTGTTCAGTTATGTATAACACGTAAAGCTCACTTTTTCAGTTCATTCATCCACGAATCCCTCGAATTCTTCTTCTTCAGTGTCCGAATTGAACAGTTGGGCGAGTACGGCATCCAACATGCCCGGCTCTCTCTCGTCATTATCCGAGTCAGTGTCGCTGAGCACCGTGTACAACCAGTATGGATCAACCAATTAACCAATTGATCCATATATAAGGCGCTCCGGATTATAAGGCGCACTGTCGTTTTTTGAGAAAATTAAAGGCTTTTAAGTGCGCCTTATAGTGCGGAAAATACGGTACTATCTCTATCAGACGGGGGGATCTCAGGGGGGCAAGACAACATAAAAAGAACAACGCAGAAGTGGCAGAGTCCGAGGCCTTGATGACAATTTCTGCCCTCTAAACAGTTTGACACATTCACAGTATCAACAGAAGAGCAGAGAAGAACATACTGGTGGACATAAAAGAAAATAAAGCATTTTCATGATGTGCATGGAGATCCCACAAGATGTGTGTTTACAGCCTATGGTTGTGCGCCGGTCACAGGACGGAATATTTCCTGCTGCGTTATCACACATGGCAACTTTACTAAGGGGCTGGCAGGAACATTTGTCAGTTGTTAGTAAGTTTTATGAAGTATCTGCCTTCAGATTTGGCCAAAGAACCCAAACATGTAGTAAATGCATTTTGCTCTGCCGTTGCCTTTAAAATAATTGAAGGCTAAGCAAAGACAGAGTGTGGTAACAAGATGTCTGAGGCTGGAGTTCTGTTAAGATGCACTGTTACAGTTAAGAGCACCCCCGGCATTTTATTCTTAACAGTAATTTAGGCTTCAAGATAACTAAAAATCCAGGAGAACACTTCTAAGCAGTCCTAAGAAATGTGATCGCACAAACATTCACAACACATTATCCACCTACCGTTGTTTCGTTGATTACTTTTTCTAACAAATTTAGCTCAACTTCGGTGAAGATTTGGTCATCTGCTGGAATCAGCTTGGCACTCCTTTTAAAAAAAACAAGATAAGTCATTACCAAACTACCTGACAGAGTCCTCATCTTTACCTTCTTTTCTCCTCTCTTTGAATACTCACCTCAAGAAGAAGCTGGAGGTGTTCAGCATGCTCTCCAGGGCAGCTAGGCGGTCAGGCCACTTGCGGCGCTCCTCCACCCTGAAGAACATGTCCTTGCACAGGCTCTTGAGCTGAGACAGCTTCTCTCTCAGCTGCTTGGTGCTGGCTGTGTAGCCTTCCTCATCCATCCACTCTGACGCCTCGCTCAGCTTCCCAGAGATCTGCTCTTTCTCCTCCTCTGACACCACCAGCAGGTAATCGTCCTGGTACATCTTATCCTGTAGGAGGAACACAGGAGTACTGTGATTTCTGAAAGAGGATATATTGTAACATCACTGGAACATTACATCCTATTTTCTTTGTTGTGACGTCATTTCTGAATAAACTGGTCGTTTATATTTTCATTAATGGTTTAACATCAAATGATTCATGTTGGCTCATCTACCTTCTAAACAACGGCTGGTCAATAAACAGATCTTGAAATAGGTCATTAAAAATTAATGATGGGGCCCCGGTAGCCTAGTGGTTAGTGCGTGCGCCCCATGTACAAAGGCTGTGGTCCTCCAAGCAGGTCGCTCGAGTTCCAACCAAACTTGTGACTCCTTTTCCACATGTCACCCGCCACTCTCTCTCTCTCTGATTTCTGACTCTATCCACTATCCTCCCTCTAAATAAAGGCATAAAAAGCCCAAAAATAAACCCTCAAATAAAAGTATGATGATAAAACATCACCAATATAGATCGATCTAACAGCATATCACACAGCTGAAACAAACCTTAAAAAGCAAGACTGAACCTTTAAGTTTGAATGACCAGCTTTCAAAACCTTCTCAGTCAGGTCTCCTTATAGGTCATGGTTCATTTTAACTTTGTTAATTAGCTGAATGAAAAAATCTAGGCTCTCTATATGCCTGGATGTTATCAGAGGAAAAAGCTAAGCTAATGTTAGCAACAGCTCAGCTTGCAGGTCCTGAAGCTTGGCAGAAAATTAGCAGTTACTGTTAATGTCAAACTGCCTTATCCTGTGTTTTATTTCTTAAAATCACTTGGCATGTCTGTTTGCAGCTGCAGACTCCTCGGCACATAGTTTGGCTCTAGAAACCCTTTAAATGATGGTCATTCTAACCCAGAACAAGCAGAGCACCTAGAAACCAGATCAGCTAATGTCTACCAACAACAAAACACAGATTCAAGTTCATCTGATGGTTCAGTGTTTTTACATGTCTTCATTATCTTTACTTAGTAAACAGACCACCTTAAAGCAAGTTAAGAAACTAAACTCTGTAGTAAACCACCTGCTTTTTTGAGACGTCATCATAAGGATATTCTTTCCTTTAAATATCAGCATTATTTTGATTTTGAAATACTTTATTAATCTCTGAGGGGAAATTCTGGTTTTACACTGTGTTATTTATATGGACATGCTACTCACACACATAGGTCTGAATCACACATATGCACAAACAGGACCTGTGGACATGCATTAGTGGAGGGATGTCAGAGTGGGGCTGCTACAAACTGCTACACAGGAGGCGCACCACAGCGGTTGGGGGTTCGATGCCTTGCTAAAGGACACCCCGGCAGTGCTCGGGAAGTGCCCTGGTACCTCTCCAGCTACCAGAACAACTTCTGTATTTTCGTCTGCACCGGGACTTGAACCTGCGACCTGTCGACTGAGCTACTGCCCCCCCCTCCATTATCAAATGACATGAATCATTATTATAAAAACTGATGAATCAGAAAAGAGAAGAGTCACCACATTCTGTTTTAAATTTAGCTGAGCTCTTCTCTAAACTGCAAAGACAACTTCAAAACAAGTTCACACAAAAAGACAAAAGAAGCTTGTGCTGCCTACCTGAGTCTCAAAGATAAAGGCTTCCAGACTGTTCAGGGTCTTTTCTCTTTCATGTTTGGCGAGGTCTCTGTTTGTTAAATCCTGCAACCTGAAAAGACACACGGACACCTTTTTAGTAAATGAAACTGAGATCAAAACAACAAGAGTGGGAAAACAATACAGATCTGCTTCGCTTTACTTCTTTTTAGAGGAGCCGACGTCCTCTGCTGTGGGGTTCAGGATGTCTTTGATGACCAGCTCCACTGTGATGTCTTCAGAGATTTTACTCTTCTTCTGTGGTTTTGCCGTCTTTTCCGGATTCTTCTCTTCCTCTGCATTTCCAGTCTTCTCTTCATCCTTCTCCTCCTTCACCAGAAATACATATTGTAACTTTTTAATAACAAGTCTGTATCTTGAATTCAACTTTGTTAAACAGCACATTTCACTGAAAGATGAGTGACTGATCCTACCTTAGTTTCAGCCTTGCTTCCTTCTTCCTCCGTCTTCTCCTCACTTTTCTCTTCACCTTTCTCTGTATCATCCGGCTTCTCCTTGGGAGCCTCTTCCTTCTGGGCTTCATCCTTACTGTCCTCGTCCTTGCCTTCCTTTCCTGATTCTGGAGGCACTTCCTCCTCATCCTGGTTACAAAGAAACAGGAGACAGTTGCTATGGTTACCACTAATAATAATTTATTAATTTATTAATAATTATTTTTTTTTAACAACACAGGCTAACCCCAAGGAACAGAAAGTAGGAGTCTCTAAAAATTTGAATGATTTTATAAGGTTGAAGAAATACTGCACAATGCAAACAAGCTAATGTTATGTCTATCACTAGAATGGAGGTACAGCAGTTTGTATAAACTCTAGATCTCTCACTTTTTTTAAATTAGTTTTTTCTTGACTAACTGATGTGCGTGGTGTGTGGCGCCGTGAATACCTGGACAGGTTCAGTCATATTTGGAGCTGGTTCTGATGATCCTCCTCCAAACAAAGTGGAAATTGTGTTACCCAGTTCTGAAAGACAGGAGAGTGACAGTTCAGAAGATCAATGGACTTGAGCTTGTTTCACACTTTTCTAGTCTTCTGACTACTCAAAGCTCTTTTACACTGCATGTCACACCTACACATTCACACACTGATGGTAGAGGTTGATATGTAGTATCATCAGAAGTAACTAATCCATTCATACACCACCACTGAAGCAGCGGGAGCAATTCAGGGTTAAGTGTCTTGCCCAAGGACACATCGGACATGTTGCCCAGCTGGGGATTGAACCCTCGACCTTCCGGTTGAGAGGTGCGACTCTACCAACTGAGCCACAGCCACCCCAGACAACACGAGTCTTATACACTAAAATGGGTAATTGAGGTCAGGTAGCAGACAATGGCAGTCAGAACTTTCAAAGCATTGCACTGAGTCTTCTTCCTTAAAATGATTTCAGCGTGGTGATGAGAGCAGGACGATGTGGCATCCAGCCTGTCCTTCAAACTGCAATCCCTATTATTCTGTTTTGTTAAATTGTATTGCTAACGCATGTATGACCTCTTAAAGAAACACAAATGGTGACATTGGTAGAAGGAAGTGCAATCACTGGCTTCAGCTCTGTAGGTTGGATCATTTTCCATCTGTTGAATAGTTTGCCAAACCTGCCTGAAGAGGCATCATTGTGGACTGCGCGACTGGGAGGAGAGGATAATGTCAACAAATACGACCAATTGGCAATTTCAAGAATTAAAAATTAAGCGAAAAACTGCAGTTCCTCAAGTGTCCACATAGGGCTGGCTGCAAAAGCCAAGGAAGTCCTATTGACACCGTTGTTAAAATGTAAATTTTTGAAGCAGAAATAAAGATGTTTACAGCCTGGTTCAAAAAGGGGCTTGAGGCTCGCCTCATCTCCGCCTCTTTTTCTGTTTTTAGATTAACTGAAAGTGAGTTTGAGACAGCATTTCTTATCGTTTGACTTCAAAAATCCACTTCAGAAACCAATGGGTGATGTCACTGAGACCACGTCCATGTTTTATACACTCTATGGTTTAAGCTTGCCTGCTAACTACCCAGAAATAGAAAACTAGAGACTTCTGGTTCATCACAACACCCCTGAACAAAGCAGACCAGTCATCATGTAGACCATGTTCAACACCGACAGAACCAAACAATGCAGCCAAAAGTAGAGATGGACTCTGTGTGTACGTCAGAGGGGACGCTCGGTCCTACCGGTAAGTCAAAGCTGAGTGACTGTTAGTACGAATTTTCATGAAATTCATTCATCTTGGTAACTTTGTGAAATGTATTGTTCAAGTCTGTCTACCACCTGTTAACACTCCTACTTTTGGGTGTCTGAAGCTGTAAACTTTTATGGGTGAAGCACCTAAGTAGTAGCAGATCTATGTTTGGATAGGAGCCAACTATATGTTGTCAGCAACTGTTTGCTAGACAGAGAGTCTACATCTGTTACGTATACAAATCAGTGTCATGTCATCTTCATTGTTTATGGTGATGCACCCAAATATAAAGGAATTTGTGGGTTGCACCTTTTTAACGGAATATAAGCAGCACTGTGAACACTGTTACTTTGTCAGCACTTTGTCAGTCAAGTGATTTGTAAGCATGCTTGTTTGATGAAGTTGTCTGACCTCGGCCGATTAAATGGTGTTATAATCTCCAGTCTGTTTCACGATTTCGTCATTGGATTTATACAACAGAAACAACCCCCACCTAACAGTGACAAGTATCCAGGTTAAGATGCCAATCATTTCATCTACACTACCTTACTGGTAGTTTTTATATTCCCAATGACATAACTACAATTATTGTGAACTAAAGTTATACCTGTTGACTCCCTCCACCCCTCAGTACAGCTGCAGTTTACATTCACTCAGTGATTCCCACAAGACAACAGTGAAGTGTTAAAGGTGCAGGTGATGTATACTGAGATCATGTGAAGGAATTCGTTAGTCTTAAATCAAAACAAGAGGATGAGTGGGCCGACACTAAACAGGTTACAGCACATTCACACACATGAATGAGGATGTGGTTGTTGTTGGACACTTCAGAGTCAGTGATCATGATTTGGTTGTGTCATGGTTTCAGACATGTCAAACCTACTAGTTAATGTTGACTCCTCCTCTTTCTCCTCCACGATAGTTTCAAAGACGGACTCCACCTGTGGATCACACATGGACAACTTGAATAATGGTACAAATAGAGAGGTTACAAGTAAATCAAAGAGGTTTCCTTCCTTTATATCCGAGCATACTGACACAGCCTGCCTACTTTTAAGTGCAGCAAACTATTAACATTTTGATATTTAAGTGAATTACAGGAGGTATGACGTAAAAAAAAAACTATTTGAAACATGTATATACAGTTGTGGAAAATGTAAAGACCACTGCAAAGAATGTACTCCAGTTCTACTATTTATAGGTTTGTTGAAGAAAGTAAAGATTTGTTTTGTGCTCAACATTTCTCCCATCTTCCAAATACATTTTTGTCATTTAGGTCTTTTATTTTACAGAAAATGAAAACTGTTTTTTTTCTTGAAAGATACAGTGTTTTTCAAACCACAAATAATGCAATTAAGTGTCAAATCCTCAAGACCAGTAAGAAAGCTGACAAGTGTGACTGACCCGATCCAGCAGCAGCACGCCGCTCTCATCCATGTTGAAATGGGCTTTGATGCCTTTTGACTCTGCGTCTGTGTGCTTCTGGAAGCTGCTACCTACTCCAGACAGTTTGACTGTGGTAAGGTTCAGAGAGCCGAACACACTGCAGAGAGAAGAGAACAGGTTTTAATCCAGAGGAGAGCTGATATACAGTACAAAACCTTATGGAATCATATTTCTGCCAAAAAAAAAATAAAACAGTAAAAAGACTTCCTGGAATGTCCGGGGCATTGAGCTGTCACTCAAAAACTCATTAGCCAATGGGGACGCATTCCTCATAAAGCCCGCCCACTCGAGAGGTTTGTGCCAGAATCACAAACAAAAAGACAGGCAGCGCAAACGAGAAAGCTGACAGTCAGAGCAAAAGTCTTATCAGTGAGAAAGAAAAGGAGAGAACTGTAAACAAAAGGACCGATAATTGCAAGTAATTTTTTTTGCTTGAGTGAGATTATATCTCTCTCAAACTCTTATCTTTATTTGCAATTTAAGAAGTTTTGTTTGATTTTTTTGGCACAAATGTGATTCCATAAAACTTCAGCATCATAGAGAGACTCTCAGTGAAGATCATACCATCAACATCACATCTTTCACCACAGTTTAGAACATTACTGTGCAAGTCCTGTATACATTTCAAATTCTACAAGGGGGATTTATATTAAAACTAACCACACATACTGTGTACATCTGTTTGAGTGTCTCCAGCTTCTAATCACACATATAAACCATGAGTGTGTACAAAGTGATCAAAGCAATAACTATGGAGGATTCACACACCTCAACTACATGTGGAAGATAAATGGATGTTAAACTAAATTGTGTTAAATAACAATTATTCAATACTTTAAGAATACAAACAACAATATGAAAATGCTGCTTCCCTGAGCTCCCATACTTCATATTGCCACATGAGAGCTTTCTACAGACAAAGGGGAAAATGTCTTATAATATTGAGAAAATGCTTCTTAGTTATCATGACAACATTGGGTGACAGCTTCCTGCCTCAGTTTGTCTGCTCTGAAGTTAGCATCATCATATCCCCTACCATCTTTAATCAGGGACCCTCTAACCCGGCCCTAAGACGTTAACATCAAAGTAACATTAATATATGTTTTCTATCAGCCTTTGCCTTTCATTGCTAACAGTCCAATACAACATTGTAAAGCATGAGCTGTCTCACCTGATCTCTTCCTGGCTCAGGAAGCTGAGGTCACCGTAGTTGATGTCGAAGGCAAAGTCGTCACTGTAGCGGTTGAAAGTGATGACCTTGCGCTGGGGGTAAGGAGCCATCCTCTGGAAGAGGATACGTTTGTTGTGTTTCAGGGTTTTAACCCCCTCCTCCTCTGACTCACGAGTAAACTCCACCTAATGTTGTTACAGTAAACATGAGTGGTGGAGGGTTTATTTTCAGATTTAGGGTTCGGGTTAAGATCGAAGTTAGCAGCCGTGAACAATGCACAGAATCATATTTTAATCTCGGATCAGAATTTCTCCACAAAGTGAACAAACAAGGTATATCATTCAACATCACCTCCCCAGCTGTGTGTTGATAAAACAAAAACAAACAGTAGCTTTATAAATGATCCATGTATCAGAAAGTCTCCGCAGAGTGAGAGATATCCACTGACCTGAATAGGGAACACAGCTGCTTCTCTGACCAGGAAGGGTTTGACCTTGAAGGCCTTGCTGAGGGCAGCAGCCTGGTACACGGCACCCATGGCTGCTGCCTCGTCTGCATTGATGTTCTTACCCAGCTCCTCTCTGCAGAGAAAAAGAGAACATAATCAAACTAAAATGTTGATCTGAAACTAAAACTTCTTTATCTTGTCAGTTACAAAACAACGTGGCTCAAAGTATAAATTCTTAGTGAAAAAGAAGGGACTAACATCTTAGTGCAGGGTTGTGATTGGCAAAGAGCTTGCACAGTAATAAGTAACATCATCATGATCATACTGTTAAAAGATTTAGATTATTTAAATCGAAGTCTGGTCTCGATAACATCATCGCCTCCCTCCATCTCTCTCGGCCTTAATGTGTCTCCTCCTTTGACAACCTTCATCAGCAGAAGATTTCTTGAACTCACCAAAACAAAACTTCTGTTTTTAGAAGTTCCACTCATGATTTCATTCAAAGCAGGTGAGGTCTGTGTGGAGTCTTTTGTTTTTTTTGTTTTTTTTTAAAAAGGTCCCATATTATGCTTTTTCTGGTTTTATATGCTCTTTAGTGTGTTTTCCAAGTGTCCTGTGCATGTTTAAGCACATCTATGTGCAAAAATTCAAAGTCCGCGGAAACGCGGCTTCTCCTACGTCCTCCTGTTAGCTGTAGCATTAGCTGCATGTAATGCTCGGTTCTAGCCCCCCTCGATAAAAATGTGTCAGTGTGATGTCTTGTCAGTGTGAGATCACTGATCTAAGTCCACTGGCCACATGTCTCTCTTTATGATAACCTGCAGAGCTGGAGCTTCTCCAAACTTACTCACTAGAGTGAGAGGAGATGGTCCTAATTCATTAATTTTCAATGGGGATCTTTAAAAATGAAAAAAAAAAAAAAAAATTTAAATGCTCTGCATATATATACATAATCTTACTGCCCACATGGATAACTAATGTCTAATAGGTCAAAGAAAATCTGGAACTGCAGATAAATCTATAAGAAGCAGATGATTGTCTGGCACAACTTCACCAACGAACAAGCTGCATGAAGAGTGAAAGGCTTGAAGAGGTCAAAATGCTCCAGCAACATTTGTAGTAAGAAGATCAGCTTCAAACGTGTTGATCTCATTTGTTAATAAAGTTGATGTTTGTATTACATAAATGTGGAAGGATCACATCCCTGTCCATTGTGTCTAAAATCCTCATGAGGATTATTTTTAATTGATGTTGAGATCACGGTTATTAAACATAGTTACTCATTGATTTTACAACATCTGGATCACATGAATGTTTGAACTTAAACACTCATCACTTTTACATTCTGAGCACTTGGGGAAAAAAGCAATAATTGAAATAAGTTACAAAAATATTAATATATCAAAATAATATATCAATAAATACAAACTATGTTTTTGAGATAGTTGTGATGCCCTCTTGTGGCCAAATATATAACAGCACACATTTTGAAACATTATCCACACATGACAGAACACGGCATGCGGCACAGTAATCTCCATTATCTTATTTTCATGATCATGAGAAACAAAAACTGTCATTGAAATTGAAACCTGATTAGCTCTACTGTCGCTGATACTTACTTTCCCACAGCTTTGAGCAGGACTTCCTGCACCTTCGGGACACGAGTTGAGCCACCGACTAAAATCACCTGCTCGATTTCATCCTGTAGACAAATGGAAGAAATAATCATTATCAGAATCAGAAGCGAGGTTTATTGCCAAGTACAGTTACACATACAAGGAATTTGACTTGGTGTATTGGTGCTAAACAATTAACAAGGAAATAAAACAGAACTAGCAACAACTTAAATAATACAGTATAAGAAGCTATTACAATATATAAAATAGAATTAAAAAATGTAAAATATAAAAAATAAAGATAAAAAAAACACAAAATGTACAAAAGGTGCAATGTAGGAGCTGTGCAGTGGACTATGAGAAAAAAATCTTTGTGTGTGTAACTACTCACAGAGTGCATGTAAGGAAAATACATTTTTAAAGTCAAGTGGGCGTTAATGCAACTTTCAAAATTAGATTACCGTTACATATTCATTTATAAATGCTGCACATTATTTCTAAAACAAAACAGCTGTATGCATTCCCTTGTGTTCCTCTCACAGTTAGTTTAAGTAGCAGTTCACATCCATCTGCATTTAGAATGATAATGTAACTAAGGCCGGGACTGGAAATTATATTTGTCTCTTGAAAAATAATAATTATCTTACCATATGCAGTTTTTTGGTAATTACAGTTAGAATTTGAACTATTGTATTTAATCTAAAAATGTGAACCTTTAATTGAATTGAACAGGTAAATTTACTCTTTACATATTTGTACATAAAGATGTAATGACTTGCTATACATTGAACAAATACTACTTTTATATAGGAGACTATCTTCAATTAATGTGAATCTTCTTTTTCTTATTCTGCCTTTTCGTGTCCCGTCTTCAGACAAACCCCCCATGAAGAGATCATGGAAGTTTTATCTCATCATGTGTGAGATAGAATACTGACCAGCTTCATTTCTGCAGCAGAGAGGGCTTCCTGCATGGGGCCGGGCACTCTTTCAAAAAGATCAGTGCACATCTCTTCAAAATCTGCCCGGGTCACCTTCGATTTGAAGTCAATGTCGTCCATCAAACCTTCCACCTGAAAAAACAGTTTTCTTTTACTGAAATGTGAAAGTTACATTATTGGTGCCTGGGACTGGGATCTTTGTTGCTAACGAAACAGGTAGCAATATTGTTTGATTTCTTTCTAGTGTTGTACCAAAGTTTAAACTTGTGGTATCATGACAACCCTAAAACATTTCTACCATGTGCTAAAACCAGCGGGACAGACTGAAGGCTGCAGGCTCAGGTCGCAGCAGCACTCACCTGGGCCATGAACTCCATGTTTGCACTGAGCACAGTCTTCAGTCTCTGAGCCTCTTTGAGGAGCTTGGCCATGGCCCGGTGGTTTTCTCTCACATCTTTCTTGCTCTTCTTCTGCTCGTTGAACAGTTTAGCCAGGTGGTCCCGGAGTCGTAAGTCCATCTCAAATCCCCCCAACCCGCGGTCGAACCTAAAGTCAGCAACAGGATAAGAACAGGGAATTCATACACACAGTTCATAGAACAGCCTCCAGGGGGTGTATGAGAGGTCAATATTATGATAAATGCATTAATCAAATATAAACCTTAAAATTATGAATATGATTGAACTCCAAGAAAATCTTAATGCATGACTGATGAAATAACTTTATTAATGAATAGTTGGATTTAAAGTGATTATTTACATGTTTAGCTGATTAAGTATATACTTTGCATTATTTACTCATGATTTTTAATATCTTCATCGTATCTATTTCCTATTCAACATTCTGTGACTTTATATACACACACAACACAAAGACTCATTTAGATTAAGTTGAAGAAATGTGGCAGCTGCCCTGATGCTCTATCTGCATTATCACAAAGTTGTTACTGACTTATCTTCATGGTTCAGCATACACAACATCAAGCAGTCAGACACACCTGAACTCCTCCTTTAGTGAGAAGGGGCTCAAAAACAATCTACAGTCTGTAAATAAAACACTTTACCGATTCAAAAACCAAGTTCATCAACATTACACACAGAAATAAAAATAATTTTCTGACTTCCACCAAGTGTTATTATATTTTATCTGATCGCTGCTCAACTTCAACTGATCATCATAATCAGTCCTTCCCATTTCATTTGCTGCTGTTTATAGCATCTTCTTTTTAAACATTGCTGTACATATATAAACAACACAACTTCAGAAGGTCAACAGTTTTATATTCAGGTCTAATTACAGATTTTTTTCCTCAAATGTTTTTAGGTTCTTGCTTTAAATGTCACATATATTTTTATCCCTGCACGGGTTATGTACATTTCTTGTATAAGTCTATTTTTAATTGCACAGTTTAAGTTTGATTCATCTAGGGGTATTTTTTAACTCTTTTTTTCAGGTTAATATATATATGTATGGGAGGGGGGCTTTTGTGGTTAATTTGTAACAAATGTTTCATGTCATGTATGTCTTATAACCTGCTACTGGATGCTTTGAATTTCCCTCGGGATCAATAAAGTATCTATCTATCTATCTATCTATCTATCTATCTATCTGTTCCTGCTTATACCACACGTCCTCTACCATTATTACTGCCACTGTATCTATGAATCTGTTTGATTCATTGTTGTTGTTTATCTCTATCGGTCTCTCTCTTTCTGGATCTCCTGCTATCCCACTTATCGGGCACATGAGTCTGTTTCTGCTTGAAGTCTCTGCCTGCTAACAGGAAGTTCTTCCTCTGCGCTGTAACTTTGCTTAACGCTGCTTAGTGCTGTGCTCATGCTGGATTAGTGTTAGGTCTTTGTAAATAATATAACAAAGAGTAAGGTCTAGACCGGCTCTGTTTGTGTCTTCAGATAACATTTGGTATGAATTGATTGATTGACTTTTCTTTTCACCAAGACTCTGCACAGGGATTTATTTGCAGTGAATTTAGTTTACAACATGATGATGTATTCTTCCATCTATCCGCGAACCAATCAGGGGGGACCAGTACGGATTACAAGTCAACTGTGATTTGTTTCACAGCTAGTTGTTGCAGATTTCTCAAACAGAAACTGACTTTGTTATTGTCAGAGAACTCACCCGACTCCTCTGATCTGCAGCTGCGGCTGGGTGCCAGCCTCTTTGGTTTTGACGGTCTGATAAGAGACGATGGTGGCGGTGGTGCTGCCTGAGCCCATATCATAAAACATCACGTTCTGAAAGGAAACAGAGTTTACTTTACAGTCTACAATCAGTACCATATCAAATAAGAATCACATCCTAGCACTCCTCGAGCACATGGTGAATACATTCAGAGAATAAAGCTGTTGATACTCAGTGTTTTGTTGATGTGGACACATTTAAAAACCAAACCAAACAAGGTGCTAGTCCTGCTTGAAGCACTTTGAAACCCCCGTTCTAGTCTCGTCAAGTCTCACTAAACATTATGTCTGTGGATATGTGCATCTGTTGGGTAATATTTTTCAGTGGAATAAACCACATCCTGCACTCTATAGTCAGTTTTTCTAACAGCTGGACTTTGTGACTAATAAACATTGAATCTTATTTTAATGGTAATGAAACAAAATGTGACTGAGTGCCACAGTGTGTCTCTTTATTTCATGTAGAGCTCTATGGCACACAGGATTTCTGTATACATACTTTCATTTCTTTTGAATAGCCCTTTTAACACATGCACATAACACCTGGACACTTCCTGAAAAATATCAGGGTGAGCTGCATGTGTGAACGCAAACAGAAAATACATTCACACCAGACTTTACACAGAATTATTCATGCCAGGCCCCTAGAACATTTTCCATGTGACCGGAGCAGTCTTCGCTCACTTAATGAAACTGCTTCATTATGTTTTCTGTTCACTAGGATATTATTTTCTGCTATTTCTGCTAACTTGAATATGTCCGACTAGCACTGATATAAAGACAATAACTGTCACCATAGCATCAGACTGTATTGCTTTGTCTGCCATATCCACATTGTTCTTTTTACATCATGTCCTGCCTCATGAGACCACCCCCTTCCCCCCTGACTGGGACACCTTCCCGCTGTGAGGGACATGTGTAAACAAGCAAAACAAGGAAGATTTCAGAAGCAGCCTGCAGGAGATGTTCAGTTGTGTGTCGGTGAAAATGTCTAGAAATGCATTTATTGTTAATAAGAGTCCATATAAATGATTTGTTGACATTAGATAAATAACACCAGCCACATTCTTCAACATGAATTTGGAAGTCATCCTGGCTTTGTACCTTAGCCGTGTTGTCGATATCTTTCCTCCTGAAGACCCCGTAGTTTAAAGCCACGGCCGTGTTGTCGTTGATGAGTTGAAGGACCTTTAGCCCCGCCATCTGTGCCGCCTGCAGGACCGCCCTGCGCTCTGCCTGGTTGAAGAAGGCTGGGACGGTGATCACTGCATCTTTGATTGGTTGTTCTGGAAGTAGAAGAGTAAAGATTGAAGCAGAAACCAACAAATGACTCTTTTTTTTTTTACATATTAAAACACTTGTAATAGTTGCAGTTATATGAGCCAACAGACCTGCAAAGTCCTGAGCCAGTCCGCAGGAGTAATTGAGCACCATGCCGATGAGCTCCTCAGGTGTGTATTGTATCTCTCTGGAAGAAAAACAACAAAACAAAAAAAATCAGAAGGTCAAGTTGGATTCCCACGTCTTAAACAATGCTGCGTTTCTTCCAATAATCTATTGATAGCTGACGTTTCCATGACAACTGCTTCCTAGTTACAGTGACTGTAATGTGTGTTTTTCTGTCTTGATCAGCTTTGAAACCTGTTTTCAGAGGTTCAAAACAAACATTTACACTCTAGAGATGAACAGCCTGACACAGCACATTATCATATACAGGTGAAATATAAGGTCATGAAAATCACATGGAAACTGTTTTAAGCACCCACTGTTGCTAACAAGTAAACAATCTATGGATTAATTTCATGATGGGGGATTAAAAAAAAAAATGAAACAAAAGAAAAATGAAAGAGACTCACTCTGAGCTTTTAAAGTAAACCGTTCCTCTGACCGGGTCCTCCTGCAGCTCATGCTCAGTAAAACGCTTCTGGTAGAGCGCCACCTGGACATTGTCGTGTTTCTTACCCAGGAGGCTTTGGAGGTGTCTGTATACTGTTTTGGGGTTCTTCACAGACTGAAATGAACAAACAATGAACTCATTAATGGCTTAAAGAAAAGATCAGTCATATGTTGAATTGACTTGAACATTTTGTGTTAACTGTGAGAACAATATCAATCAGATTACGCTGACATTATTGAAAACTCCTTTTAGGACATTTGAGAAGAAATCCTACCACTCCCAGAGCGCTGTCTCCAAAAAGTCTTTCATTTTCCTTCAGACATACAGCAATGGGTGTTTTCCTCCTTGACTCCCTGAAGACAAATACAACAGACATGGTGTTCAGATGTTATTTCCTGCTTCACTTTTCTGTTATTTATACATGCTTTTGTAAAGTATTCCAGTAGTTTTTGTGACTTTTGTGTTTAAAATGATGATTTGTGTAACACACAATCTAAAAACAAACAGCAAGTGGTCCAGACAATACTTTGTTCTGCATGGTAAAAAAAAAGCTTATAGAAGTATGGTTAGTGGCTTTAAAAGGGTGCAAAAACCAATGGGTCATTATTACAGAGAAATAGAAACAGTGTTGAACCGGTGGTCCGGTACATCCCTCTGAAAGACATTTAGAACCACATGAAGCCAAGACAAATTGACAACACTTTTAAAGATTTAGCTTCCTCGTGAGGTCCTAAGAGCAAGCCAACTAGCTTCCTAGTAGATTAAAACAAATGTTTCAGTGTTCCTACCTCAAAAAAAAACAACAAGAAGAAATCTGCTCATTAACATGTGTCCTTCACAATAGGATTGAAAAAGTGGATGACTGTACATAATTGACAGCATGATCGCTGTATTAACACTGACCACTATTACTCATTGGCTTCAAAGCCAGTCATGCTTCCTGGTAGGCTTATGGTGATGACTATGTCTGGTTCTTTGTAAATAAACAGTCCTATCTCTGTATGGATCATTTCTATATTGTGTAGACACAAAGAATAACAACGGGAGTCAGTCAGTGGTGGAAACAGGCACTTTAGGACACATCCTTACTGCCATCAGGCAGATCTGTCCCCGAGGTTTACATTGCTACACATACAGAGCATTTCAGGCTGCTGAAGCAATTCCAAAATGTTTTACAAATATACTAAATTTGGTTAGAGCGTTTCCCTTATTTACATTTAGTCAAAGGTCAAAGACACAGAATCACTGTACCCAGGTGAAGACAGCAGGGAAACTCACTTGTTAAGAACAATCTCCATCGGCACACCAGGTTTCACTATCGCCATCTTCATCCACTCACTGCCAAGGTCGACAGACATGACAGCTACACTCACTGCAAACACAAAAAAACACAGTTACATAAAGCTGGTAATGCAGACAGGAACATACTGTATACTGAGGGAGAACTGAGGCTCATTATTGATCAAGCTTATCTGTTTCCAAACTGCAATCATTCATTCTGTATGTATTCATGAGTGCTATATATATATATATATATATATATATATATATATATAAATAAAAGCGCTATATAAGCTCAAGTCCATTTACCATGATTGTTGTAAATCTAGGCTGTAGCTTCATGTTAGAAGGCAAGGCAAGTTTATTTATATAGCACATTTCAACAAGGCAATTCAAAGTGCTTCACACAAGACATCAAAAGCATCATGACAGAGGAAAGAAAAGAAACATTAAAATAGAACATTTAAAAAAATCACTGAAATTATTCAATCTGAACATATGTTCAAATAAAAATAATTCAAATGAAATTAATTGAAATAAATAAAGTAAAACTATAAAAAGAGTTTAAAGTTACAGTGCAAGTTTAAAATCTTATTAAAATTGTTTAATAAAAAGGCAGCTGTAAACAGGTGTGTCTAGAAGAATACATCTGCATATGATGATGGATATTATTACCTGTGTGAGAAGGCAACACTGCCAGAACAAGGCAGAACAGAGCAAACAGCCCCAGCTTCCTCCTCCCCATGATGAGCTGTAAAGACAAACACATTATGCATTCATATGAAAACAATATCTGTGTGCTTAAACACTCAGCTTTGACATGTTTTTCTGAGGACTCAATCACACAGCAACATTTATACTAAACACACTGGATCTCCTGCTCATCTTTCTCCACCAGCTGTTAAGGGATGCTTTTTGTAGCAGGTGCATCTCTTACAAAGGAAATGATCATTATCATATTCTGCTTGGACTCCTTGTTATTCAGTGAAGATTTATCAGTGAACCACTATAAGTGTGTGACAGTTCAGTGTGACACTTGCAGGCTGTGCCATGGCCTTTGCCCAAGGATATGCAAATCAAACATACACCTGATCCCACCCTCAAAGGTGTACACAGTTTACAAACACGTGGCATTAATATAGTTGTCAAGTTCTGATGTTGGCTAAAGCTTTAATATTTACAGTAAAAAAAAGAAGAAGCTTAATGCAGAATAAAGTATGTATTTAACTTTTAAAGGTGAAAATGTATACAGAGCTTAAAATAACGTTTAGGTACATCTATTATCAGATGATTGTTTGTTTGAGGAGATCTGCATAGACACTTCTAGTCCCCAGGTGAGACAGGGACACATTAACGCAAGATGGATGCAAAGATATAACTCTTGTTTTTTTTATGATTTACCTAAAAAAAATCCCTACAGCTTCAAGAAATTATCAGCAGGCTGAATTGGCTAGTCGAAGTATAACTAACAGATGTGTGCTAGCTTAATAGTGCTAGTACACATCTGTTCTTCTAGATACAGCAACATTTAGTAACGTTACACCATCATCCATTGACCGATGAATTCAGACACATTTGGACAGAGTAGCTCATCCTTTGACCTTAGAAAACACAATAAAGCAGAAAGAAACATCTAGTTCACAGTGCCTGTAAGCTAGCTCACTCTCTGTGTACCAATGTGAAAGCATGATGGACACTGTGCAGAGACACACGCTTACCTTAAACTCAGAGGTTTCCAAACTGTGCTCCTCAGGGTGGGCTTTAATACTTGAAGTTTCCTGACTTCGGCCTGTTTCAGAGCCTCTTTGTTGTCACACGGTAGTTTTAAGTTCCCTTATCACCGGCTTGCTCTCACTTGTCGGGCCCGAACGCGGCGTCACCTCATTGGATCCACTGACTGCAGCCGCTGCCGGGTGGAAGTGTTGTCAATTTTACAAAATCACAAGGTAGAATATCCGGTCTGGTTTTCAGTTCTAAAAGCCGTGTGGGCAAACATACTTAGATACAACTTGCATATAGTTATGTTAGTCAAATTTAAAAGTGTAAAGTAGAAAAACGCCACAGAGAAAAGTGCTATTGTCTTATTCAGACCACGAGTTAAACATCTGGGAGTTATGGAACAATGCACGCTACGGATGAGACAAACTTACTTTGAAAGGGAGAGTCCACTGCATCCGGTATAAACTGCAGCCATCTTGACGCTTTGCTTAACCACCACCCTCCAGTCGAAGGCCCGCCTACCTGGCTCCACGCACTAAGACGTGATTGGTCCACGTGAATAGTGATGACGAAATACAATTTTTGGCTAAATCCAATTGGTCCACGTTCAGACAGTGGGCGTAGACTAAGTGACGAAGTTTCCAGGTAACGTCAAAGCGAACCACATGCTTCCTGATGTTAATTCATTCAAATTAAATTGTCTAGTTGTTCACTTTATTATAAGTGGGCTCAAGGAGACATTATACATGATATATGTTGTAATCTTTTTAATTAAAGCTGCTGTTTCAAATATAATAACAATTTTACTGCATTACATTGATTAAAATGGTTAAAATGTATACAGTAATTCCCCCCCCCCACACACACACTCTGTCATCCCACCCAAACGAATCACCACAGAGCTATTCTTGTTGCGAAAATTTTGAGTGACATGTGGGAAATAGTTTTATAATTAAAAAAAAAGTTTAAAAAAGAAATAGAAATAGTTTTATTAAGTCATCAAATGTTTAATTAATTGGTAAAGATTTTAAAAAAGGCTCATTAAATCTATTAAGAAAAGAGATGTGGATGGAGGTGTTACAGGGTCCACTAGGACCACTTGGAACTAAGGCTTGTGGACCAATGCACATTGGAGCAAGTCATATTTGAAATTTATGTCATGTAATTTAATGAAATATAATTGTATATGAATATCTTGGTATTCCAGTAAATTACTAGTTGTGTTAATATTTTAAAGGGCTAAACTGGCAGATCATGGAAACAGCAAAACCACAAAAGGCCAGAGTTTGTGCTACATGTCCCAAATGCACCTAATGACTTTAATGACAATTCTTATCATCCAGTTTAAGTAACATACATCAAATTATTGCATCAATGCCAGGCAACTGAACTATTTTTAATATGTGCAAGAGTACATAATAAGTAAGACTAAACACAACAAAGCACAATCCTCCAAGCTGAATAACTGTTAGGTTTAACAGCACTACATGTTTCAAACTTAGGTACATTTTTTACAGATTTCAGTGAATTGGACTAAGACTGGGAGCATTACAACACAAATAGGTCCATCATAGGTACTGAAGGCAGACAACTGCATGCGCTGCTGAAAACATGATGCATCCTGTGCAGTAAATCGTGTTGCAGAGAGCTTGCGGTGATATAAAGCTGGACACATCGGTGCCTTCTCAGGTGGAGAGAACAAACAGTTTTCTAAGAGTTTCGCTTGGTGTGGATGAGAAGATCTCTCTGCAGGTTGACTTCAAGACTCCCAACGGTTTTGCTCCCAGGCGGGTCAGTGACCAGAGTCAGTTTGTTAAACACTCCTCGACCAAAGTAGTCCGCCACAACAGAGAAGCCATCATTAGAGCTGCGTAACTGAAAAACATAGAAAGGACACAGAATAAGCACTGACTTGAATTTTCTGTAGCGTTGAAACTGCAAAATGACAACAGTCAACTTAGAACAAAAAGGAAATGTGCAACTATTACAAAAGATTTTAAAAAAGATGATGGAAAGCTTTAATAAATAAAACAGGAGTAATGTTTGAATACTGTTACTGATATAGTGATTTTGGTAAACTTCCTTTCAGTCAGAGCCGCAACATGATACAATGTTTGCCCCACACACACAAATACACACATACACTTGAGTTCCCACAGTTTGCCGAGTCGGGTGACGAGGCTTTTATAGATTTGGTGACGTAGTAATTCACTCCTACGTAATACTGTACTCCACACAGCCGTTAGAATTTTTCAAATGGAAGGGCAGACACTCTGCACATTTCTAACACAATATTTCAAATTTCAATACTTTGTACTCAAATGTGGAGATTGGGACTTGGATTGATCCATAACTACTTAATACTCAAATACAGAGGTTTATAGTTGGAAAAAGTTGTTTTAGGGTTTAGTTACTCTTTAAGTACTTTTACCTGTCTGTTGAAGTGGTCATGCAGGTCTCGTTTCTGGTCCTGAGCTCGCAGCATATCCATGACTTTGCGGTTCTCTGGAGTGCAGGTCGGGCACTCAGCCTCACTCTCTGCGTAGCTCTCAAAGCAGTGTTGGTGAAAGGAGTGGCTGCACAGGAAATGAACAGACGGCAGCTCCAGGGGGCTGTTGCACATGTTGCACTTGGTCTTCTGGAATATCTTGGCACTGTGAAAAAAATTGAGGGAGAAAAGTTGTTTACTAATCCTCATCTACCAGACTTCTATCCCTCTGAGTTTCACCAGCTGTAACAAACGGTAACAACTCAAATAAAGTCACATGCATGTGAATGACGAGATTACAGTCAGTTACTGATAGAAACTGGAAACGATCAAAGTGCCTAACTCTCTAAGAACAAAGTTGAAAGAGAATGCAACGGCTCATGTGATGCACCTAGTTTTGAGCTCCTGAATCTCCGAGCGAAGGTGAGCCGTTTCCTCGCGGTACTGGTGGATTTTGCGTTCATCGTCTTCTATCTGCTGGCTCTCCCTCTGCAACTTGTTGATGAGGTAGTCTTTGATGACTGAGAGAGTGGCAGTGGAGTTGTGTGCCAGCGTCTGCACCACTGTGGCAGATCATGAAGAAAGAGATGATGTAATGATGTGCTCGTTAACAGCAGTCTTCCCCCTCACCTTCTGATGTAAAGGTGGCTCAATATCTAAACAAGTAAATCTATTATTGTCCAAAAGCTCACCTAGTAAAGGAGGCATCAGGTTGTTTTGGTCAATGTGATGAAGGACCTCACTGATGTAGGCCTTGCAGTCTTCTTCTTTTCTGGCAAAATAACCAAGTGCCTGCTCCCAAAGGCAGCCCTCTTGGTCCCCGTAGCGCTTGCAGGCCTCTACCACTTTACCATACTCTTCATTCTGCATGTGGTAGTGCATGATCTGCTGATATCTGCACACAGACGCAGATCAACAACAAGCTATTAGATTGAAATGTATAGTTGGATCAAACATTACATTTCTGGTTTACAAATACGTGTTATACCTACAGAGTTCATTAGAGACTGCTGCACATTTTAAACAGTTCCATAAAGAAATAAGATTCAAGCAGACTTAATCTGTCAAAACAGCATCATTCATCATTAGAGTTACTACCTACAAAGTTTCCATCTACGTGATTCTTTATTATTAACAATCATGATACATCATTATTATTGTGTATTATTATCAACAGGTGAGTTTCCCCAGGACAAAGCCAAAGAGCTTATCTCTAATCATTCAACAGTCTAACCTGGTCTGTGCTTATTGGTACACTCTCAGGCCTTTCATTTAGTTTCACATGCTGCATAGAAGGAGTTAGGGTAGTTATTAGATGTTTTGTGATCCTGTGTTTCTTCATAAGGTGAGTTGAATTCATTGATATTGAAACACAGGTCTGCGCTCCTCACTTACAGTTTGCCCTTCTCATAAAGGTAGAGGACGCCTTCTTTGAAGTTGTGCATCTGGCAGAGGACCAGAGCTTTATCAAACACTGTGTTGTCACTCCTCAGCAGCGATACAGCCTCCCCCTGCAGGACGTTTTTACGCTGGAAAAACATACGCATCAGAGGAGAAAAAAAGGAGCTTTCAACTATTTTGTTATTAGTGAACCACGTCTAATTTCAAGTCTGATTTTCTAAGTAACATAATCACACAACAGAGTGGTCTACTGCTAAATGTGTTGTCAATGTACTGTGCGAGAATCATGGCTCGTCTGTGTGATTTGGACTTACCTCAGGGTCTTGTTCATGGGCCCAGTCTTGTAAGCGAAGCTCCAGCAGTGTGTCATACACACCCTGAGGAGAGCGAGGGTCCACCTCAATCATGTGCTCCAGGAAGGCTTTCAGCTCCCGAGGATTGTTGGCAAAAATTGGAATGAATTCCTCTGAGTTTGCCTTCAACAGGTGTGAACAAGAGATGCATATAAAATCTAAAAGACGTTTCTTGTGGATGTGAAAAAGAGGTTAAAGAAGAAAAGCAGTGCAGGCTGACCTTGTCATACCGACCCGTCTCCGTCCCGTCTCTCTCAGCAGTGTCTCCGCTGGGTTGGTAGTTGGTGCATAAGCCCTTTAAGAGCAGCGTGGTGCCTTCAGGAACATGATGCATCAACGTCTTGCCGTAACGCTTCATGTTGCTCTCAGCTTGTTCAAAAGGAAGACGTCCAATGTAACGCAGGCCTTCCTGATAGTTCTGTGTTTTGTGGAGAGAAACACTTTCAAACATTTTTCTTACATGAAGGTGAAATCCTGCTGCCTTCATCTGTTTGTTAACATCTTCTTAATATCAATGTTACTCACAGCCTTAATTCAACAAGACCCAGACTCTCATCAGCCCCACAGTCAGAAAAACATCAGAGTAATGTGAATACTGAATCTGCTTTTAACCATTACATTAACGCCCACTGGACTTTAAATGTATTTTCCTTACATGCACTCTGTGAGAAGTTACACACACTAAGATTTTTTTCTCACAGTCCACTGCACAGCTCCTACATTGCACCTTTTGTACATTTTGTGTTTTTTATTTTTATATTTTACATTTTTAAATTCTATTTTATATATTGTAATATCTTCTTATACTGTATTATTTAAGTTGTAGCTAGTTCTACTTTATTTCCTTGTTAATTGTTTAGCACCAATACACCAAGTCAAATTCCTTGTATGTGTAAATGTACTTGGCAATAAACCCCGATTCTGATTCTGAAGAAAAGATGGT